CGAGGATTGTTCTAAGTGTTTTATACACATTAACAATTTATTCCTTACAACAACCCAAGAAAGGAGGTAATTACCCCCATTTCACAGTGAGCAAACAAAGGCACGTAAGGCTTTAAATTGTGCTCACAGTTGCCTGGCCAGTAGGTGGCAGAGTTAGCATCTGCACCCAGGCTACTGGCTCAGAGGTCATGCTCTTAACTGCCCCGCTCGCTTTACTAAATGGAGGACTGATCTTAGGGGGGAGACTTTGGTGCAGGCCCTCATAATGGCAGCCATCTCCTGAGGAGCGCTTGCCACGGGCTAGGCCCTGGGCCATGGTACTATTACAGAGGGCGGGGCTGGCTCAGAGGGGTGAGGGGCTGGCCAAAGCAGCCAGGTCCTTTCCAGCTTCTAGGCCCACACTCTGACACCCCACCTGCTGACTCCCCGGAGCCCGGCGCAGTCCCCTGTGCCTGGAGAGCAAATGGTCAGGAAGAGGAAGCGAAGCAAAGGTCTAGGCACCCTCCCTTCTAGCCCTTCCATCACTCCAAGCTCTGCTTCGGCCTCAACCCCCCCAGGGCGAGCTAGCGACAGTGGGAGCTGGTGAGAGGCTCGAGCAGCTTCTGCCAACGCCTCCCGCCCAAGACACTGAGCCTCGCAGGGGACTTAGGATGAGCTGTGTCCCTGGCAGCTGCAGCCCACATCCCCGAGGTGAGCCCATCTGTGGAGGACCCATCAATTTCTCGCTACCAACGGCCCCACCAGGCAACTCCACCAGTTTGCTCTGGAGCTAAAGGCCGAAGTATGGGCAGATCATGGCCACAAGCCTTAGGAAGTGGGGGAGCCCTTTATGGTTCTGAGGGAGGGAAGTGGCATGATCCTGAGAGAAATGATGAAGGTGTGAACTGGGGAGTGGCAGCAGGGGCAGAGGAAGGGGACAGATTCCTGAACTACAGTTGACTCTTGTGCAATGTGGGAGTTACGGGCGCCGACCCCCCTTCACCCCGCGCAGTTGAAAATCCACATATAACTTTCGACTCCCCCAAAACTTAGCTACTAATAGCCTGCTGTTGATTGGAAGCCTTACTGATAACATAAACAGTCGATTAACACATATTTGGTATGTTATATGTACTATATACTATATTCTTAGAATAAAGTAAGCTAGAGAAAATATTAAGAAAATCATAAGGAAAATACATTTACAGTACTGCGCTGTAAAAAATCCACATATAGGTGGACCAAAGCAGTTCCTGTTGTTCAAGAGTCAGCTGTACTTGAAGGTCAAGTTGGTGGGACTTTGTGAATGACTGGGCATAGGCATCGCAGAAAAAGGGAAGAATCAAGAATTGAATGACCTCCAGGTTTCTGGCTTGAACAAGTTGGTGGGTGGGGCTACAACCTATTCAGATAATGAATATAAAAGCCAATTAAAGATGAGCTTAATCTTGGACATGCGTATTTTGACAGGCTTGAGGCACCCAGTGGGAGGATCCAGCTGAGGGTAGACGAACCTGGAGCTCAAGGGTCGGGTCTGGGCTAGAGAGAGATTCTAAAGTCAATACCAGAAAATCACAAAGGAGAATAGACTTTCAGGGAGAGTACTTAGACATGAAATATTAGATTGAGTCATGTAAGCTGGGAATGGAAGCCTGAGAAATAGCAAATATTTAGGGAGAAGTGAAGGGATGGTCAGAAAGGGCAAGGAGGACCAAAGAGGCAAGGTCCCAGAAGCCAAGTGAAGAATTTCATGAAGGAAGAAGGATCACAGTATCAAATGTAGTGGGGGGCGGGGGCAGAAAGAGAAGAACCAAGGACATCCTCTGGGTCTGGCAATTAGTCATCAATGACCTTGCCTCTGGAGGGCTTGGGGTGAAGGACCGAAAGGGCAGGAGGTGGATGTGGAGCTCATGGAAATTTCTTTGTAGGGCAGAAGACCTGAATCTGTTAACAGGCTGAGAAGGACCAGGAAATAAGGTGAGGTTGAAGAGATGATAGAGGTCCCAGGAAGAAGGGGATGGGTGAGTTGGCTTTGAACAGGAGGGACATACTATTCCCAAGACCACAGCAAAGGTGGCCAAGATAAGTATGAAGAAAAACTTGCAGAGGGGAGTAAGGAAGTTGAGAGATCACAGCCACTGGTCTTGATTTTCTTGAAGTAGCAAGGTAAGATCTTCTAGGGTAGGGAGAAGGGGAAATACAGGAAGGTTGCCTAGTGACCTCCAGAAAGAGTGAACCACGAGAAAGGATTCATACCAAAGGATTAATGCTCTCCCACCCCCGCCCCAAAGGTAGGGAGGAGGTGGGGGGTGGAAACTAGTCTCTCATAAGCAGAGCAGAGCTACCCAGGGAGGAGCAGAGAAGTCAGGCTGGGTTGTGGATCCATGGTTGGGGTTTTGCTGGTGGATGAGTATGGTGGATACAAGGAAACAAAGAGTACAAGGGAGATGGAGTGGGTCTGAGTGAGGAATAGAGGAGAATCCACCAGGAAGCGTGCTGGCCTCTCCCTGTCCGTTCCCTGTGTGTCACTTCTCTTTGAGCCACACGAGGATAAGTGCTAGCCTTAAACCACGGAGACCGATTCTAAGACTAATCCCCGAGGCCAAACCCAACCAGTGTCTTCCAGGTAGGTCCAATCCATTACAGTATGTCTGGTGGGTTTGATGGGAAACACAGGATTTCTGAGCACGACGCTAACATTCATGTCGCACCACATGAGATGGGATAGCATGTCACTTCGGCTCTTTTCTGTCATCAATGGCAGGGATCCTAATCTCTGTTCCAGGTGACCGGCAAAGCAGTAAACTCTCCTGCTGGGCCCCCTGTTCTTTCATCATCCATAGAAAGATGAGGTACACTCTTCAGCAGTCGTCTAAAAGTCAATTTTTTGTGCGTGAGGTGAAGCATATTTAGGTATTTGGCTACTAGGAATTCTTATGTAAAGTGAACAGTCATTCTAATTTTTTAAATTATTTCCAGATATTTGGCTTATTTATGGTGACAACTGCTTGCTTCATATCAAATCCTTAAAACCACCAAAACCTGGTTGGATCATCTGCAGGACTTAATCAAAACTCAGAGACACACAGGACTCAAGGTTTCCCCTAGGCGGTGTGGTTTAGTGGGGACCCAACAGCGTTAGACACCCATTGCTGGATTGGTTATTCTCAAGTTAACACACCCATCTGCCCACTTTAGAAAAGACCCAATTTTGTCTGCCCCTTGAAGTGCACACAGCCCCACTGTGAAAGAATCCCATTGGCCCCCTCCACCGGGCTTCGAGAGCAGCGGGTGGCCCTAGCGGGTGCTGCGTCTCTACCAGGCAGACAAACACGGTAGAAACCAGGGCTGGCTCCTCTGCCTGGCCTCCCGTCCGGCAGCTCCTGTAGCTCCTGTCAACCCCACCGTAAACCTTCACGCTGGCTTAGCATATCTGTGCAGGATCCCACAATCATTCTGGTCCCTTCTCAGCTGTGTCCCTCACTTGCTTCCAAGGCCAACTCCCAAGTCTCTGCTCTTCCCGGAAGCCCCATCTGCATGTTCACCCCCTCCCATCCCTTTTAGTGCTTGTACTGGACTTCGAACTTGGGCAAATCTTGGCAAACTGAAATCCCCACCTCATGTTTGTTCTCCTGGCCCCCACCTCTCACCAAGAACCAGCATGGGGCTCTGCACACAAAGCTTCTAAATACCTGTTTGTTCGCACAACTCAAGGGCAGAAACTTCAGTTAGACCCCCCTGGTCCCTCTAGGTGCACTGTTTCTGCGGGGTCTTGGACGCACCCTGCGCTGCACTTGCCAGGAGGGAATGGGGGGTCCCTGACGGTGTGCACATTTGCTGCTCCCAGGCCGTTCTGTTTTCCTGGCTGCCCCAGCCCCTCTGAATAGCTGTGGGTTTTCATCAGGGAAAATGTATGGATTTTGCAGCGAGCACTTTTTACTGTATCTGAAAGATACTGACAGCAGGCCCTGTTCAGAGTTTAAGGGGGAATCTCCCACAAAGATGAAACACAAATCAAATCTCAGGCTAATTCCCCAGGGTCAGTGGATAGAGCTTGTGAGGGGCCGGTCCCCACCCATCAAGCGAGCAGGAATCCTGGCGAGCCCCGGGCCTCTGCTGGGACCCCCCGTGGGCCCTGCCACAGCCACCGGGACTGTCTAAGCTCTGCTTCTCTGCCTGGACCTAGTAAGGACCACGTTCTCTGTCCGCTCTCTGAGAAGCAGCGTTTATCAGATCACTTGCGAAACACTCCCAGCGCTCTAGACCTCTTGAAATCCAGAAAGTGAGAGAAATCAGACAATTTAATGATGGCTTCCTTGGTCTACAGACAACGGAAGGACAAACGTTTCTCTCCATGCACTGGTACAATGAATGAGAGCCGAGCGACAATCCCAGGACAGGCGCCGTGGTATTCAGACCCGCTGCTCGGCCTCCTGGTCGCGTGGTCCCACCAACCGTGTGGCTCAGCGACTGCAGACCTGGGGAGGCGGGGGGACGGCCTGGCCCCCTGAGGTGGGAGTGAGGGGCCAGGGGCCACAGGGAGCGAGGCGCAGCGACACTGCTGTACGCTGGTGGAAGGGTGTTGGGGGGGGGGGGGGGACAAGTGTCTGGGTGTGCCCTGAAGACAGGGCAGCTCAGTGGCATCAGCTGCCCCATCAGAGCCATCCTGAGGGATGGAAGCAGGCTGAGCTGGGGCTTAGGTATCAGGGTCGGGAGGAAGGTGGCCAGAAGAACCAGGCAGAGAAGGGGTACATGCTGACTGCTTCCCTCCCACACACTGAGTTCTTGATGACCCGGCTCCATCTTGCAAAGGGTAAGGACACTCCCAAGATTTGGAGCTGAAGGGGTGTCAGGGGTGAAGTAAGGAGGTACAGACTGTTCCAATCCTGAGGCCACCTGAAGCGTCTCCGCTCCGTTCTGGCCTGCCACCCCCTCCCCTCAAGCCCGAAGACTGGAGCAGGCAAACCCAAGATCAGGGACCCCACCACTCTTCCCAGATTCCATCAGCAGACGACACCTTTTCTAAAGAGAGAGAGAAGAAGGAAAAAGGCCATGGGCTTCTAAAGAGAAATCCTGGGAAGGGTGGCACCGAGGGCTGGGGAAGGGGCCTCTGGCTTTGTCCAGCCCTGGAAGCTGGCAGCCGTGGCCTCTGGTCCTTGACCCAACCTCGCCGGCCCACCTAGCTGAGCATCTTGTGCCGATCGAAGACTGTCTTCCGCTGCTCCTGCACCTGCAGCTTCCACCGCTGCTGAGCGCCCTCCACACGCTCCAGGACGGTGTTTGCTCGAGGGCCCCCCAGGGAGGCAGTGGTGGCAGCCACAGAGCGAGCATCCTGCGGGGGTAAGAGACAGGAGAGAAGGTTCAGCACGGTGAGCCAGGGCGGGTCTCGGAAACCCGACACGGAAAAAATGCCCCTACAGCAGTCCCAAAGGCTGAGCGCCCCCCACCCGAGACGGGGAGGCTGGACCTCCTCCACGGCTGGGGGCTGCTCGAGGGCCTCGCCCAGCGCACCAGGCCAGTGGCAGGCTCGGTGTTCAGAGAATGTGTAGGGCGCCCTGGGAAAGGGGGCACTCTGGGAGGAGCATTATCTAGGGCCCCAGTTACCACACAGCTGTAGTTCAAATTGGGTCCCCAACTGCACCCCACTGGCCAATTTCTAGCCCTCAGGAGGAATACTGAGTGTTGGTCTCAGGACCTCACGGGGTCAGCGCAGAAGCCCTGATGCCCTTTGTGGCTTGAGGAAACGCATCGGTGAGCGCCAGGGCGGGCACCAGGCTGCAGAACCCCCCCACCCTGCCAGCCACCGCCCGGGCACTAGGGCCTGGCCTCCCGGGGCAGGGAGCACATGGGTACCAGTGGGGAAGATGGGCCCACTGAGGAGTATGCACGGGCACTGCTCTGCCAGGGGCTGGGACACCCGGCTGACTAACCCCGGCAAAGAAGGCATGTCCCTCACTCAGGGAGTGTGGCAGGGATGGAAATCCACCCCGCACTCCCATTCCAGAGCCTGCCTGGCCCACTCTCCTCTGACAGGTTAGGATAGCTCAGCTCCTCCTCTGTGTGCCTGGCTGATCCCCTTCCCCTCTGCTCTCGGAACCGCTTCTGTTGTCAAAGGCAGCAGCTCCCCTAATTACCACCTCTCTGCCTCTGAAGCTCCGGAGCCCAGGCATTTCCTGCAGGACCCCAACCTGATCTTTGGGGGGAATTAGAGCCGAGGGCCAGGCCCACACCCCCGTGGGGATTTCCTCCCTCGTTCTCCCTGCCTCTCATCTCCTGCCACACATCTCTTAAGGGATTAGCACACCTCTCTAAGCCCAGAGCCGCCCAGTAAATGCAACTTTGCTTCTAATGCCCTGCGCTGGCACGGCTTCTGTCACCTCGCAGCTGCCAGGCTGGGGAGAAGGGAGGGGTGGGTGAGGCGAGGGGAGGGGAGGGGAGGCAGAGAGCTGGCAGTTGCAGAGAGGTGGCCGGCTAGGGCTGAGGCTGGCAGGCAGTTCACTGTCGCCGCAGAGCTGAGTCACTGTCTCATGAGGGACAAGGCCTCCCTGGGGGGTCCGGGTCCAGGACCCTGAGGAAGGCTTCCTAGGCCCGCAGAGCTGCCGATCCCAGCGATACGGAGGACGCAGGTGCTGACAGCCTCAGGCAGGGGGCGCACTGAGCCCAGAGTCAGGACTCCTGGGTTCTAGACTGGGCTCCGAGGGGCCATCTTCTCCCTGTCTCAGGCCCCACGCCCCCAAGGGGGCCCATCTCCGAGGCCTACAGTGGGAGCTGGGACAGAGGGACAGCCTTAGCCACCTGGCAGCTTTGGGTCCCTGGACAAGTGACTATTTCTCCAAGCTTCAGTTTAATAAAGCCAGTCTTTGCAGACTTTTTTGACTGTACTGTCAGCAGAAATTAACATGTACCTCATGACCCAGTGTGTGTGCACAAACATATGCATACACAATAAACAAGTTTTATAAGACACTTAAGTATGAGGCATTCTGATATTCTTTGCTCTGCTCTCCGTCATTTTTTTAAAACGCTGGTTATGACTCACAACTGATTTCATGACCTAATGGCTTGTGACCCATACTCTGAAAAACAAGGTTTAGGGTGAGGAGATGGGTACAGCAAGGTTAAATAAAATCATATATATAAAGTTCTTAGTACTCTGACCGTCACGGAGTAGGAGCTCAAGAAACGTTTCGTTTTCTTCTTCCCTGGCAGTTCAGCTCAGGGGTTGAGAACACCGTGGAATCAGACAAACCCAGCTCTGAATCTTGGCTCTGACACCTACCGGAATAGGACCCTGGGCAGGTCAGCTCATTCTCAGAACCTATGTCCCTATCCGTAAGACGGGGATAGCAAGAGATGCCTCTTCATGAGACCAGGAAAGCAAAGCCTTTGGCGGCGCCTGGCAGACAGCAAGCGCTTAATTCACAGCAGACTAGCTGTGGGGTCTCCGAGGCGGGAGAAAGGGGGAGAGAGTTGGCAGACTGCTGCCAGAGGGAGCTGACTTTGAAAAAGGACCATGGCACCGCATCACTTTTCAATCCCGTCCCTTTCTGGTTCAGCTACACCAGCCGGCTGCTACCGGGGGCCAAGGCCAAGCCTCCGGGTGGCCGGGTAGGGGAGATGGGCACTGAAGCCCCACTGGGACCTGGCTGTCCTGGCTTCGGGGGCCCAAGGGGCTTCTCTCCCTCCCCACCTCTCATCTTGTCCCTTCCGGGGCCCACGAGGAGTGCTGGGGTGTGAGCCCCGGAGGCAGGCTTGGAGGGATGGGCCAGCCTCAGCCCAGCTTCTCCTTGAGGGCTCTGCAGCTCAGAGAACGTCTTCAGGAGGGGAAGGCAGAGGAAGCCAAGAACAGAGCATTAAGGGAACTTGCTGAAATTCACCGCATGACCACAGTATCATTTGTTTCCCCTTCATGTAAAGTCTTAACAAACAGCTCCTAAGTGGGGGAAAGCTGCTGCTGAGAGGCTCCGTGTTTCCACTGCTAATAGTCTGATTAAAAGGTATTAAAGCTTCCACGTTTGTTCTAGAGATGGCCCAGAGTGGGGCCTCATCCTTGCCTGTTCTGGGGCAGAATGGCAGCTGGAGGCGGGAGAGAAATCACACCATTTCTAGCCCCTTCCCTCTGAGGCAACTCAGGGAGGCAGGAGGGCAGCTACGAGAGGAGGAAGGCGCCTGGGTCCCGACAGGGTGCCAGGGGGTGACCGGTGCGACCAGACTAGCATGGCGATGACAAGTGTCACTTTGTGCCACAGGCTCTGTTAAGTCCTTTACGTGGATTCTCCCCAGGCTTGGGGGTACTGGGTAACATTACTCCCATCTGCAGACGAGGAAACTGAGGCCCAGGTCACACAGCCCTGTGGTGGCTGAGTGGGGGCTGGAACCCATGTCTGTGTTCTCCTACCCCAGCACTCTGCTGGCTGCTTCTTTGGCTGGTTGCTCCTAAGAGGGATCCAATGTGGAAAAACAAAGAAGCAAGCCGGTATCTTTCCACGAGATCAGAGTAAGGCACCAGGAATCAGGGACCTCAGGCCAGGCTCTCCTCGCCGGGCCTGGGAGGCCCCAAATCCTGGTGTGCACAGGCCAGAGCTGACGACCACCGTCAACGCGGCCCAGAGGAAAGCTCCCCGGCCCGAGCAGGAGCACCGGGCTGAGGACAAGAGGACAGAGGAAAAGAATCCCCACTTAGAGCTGCGCTCCCTCCACCCTTCCCCCAGTCCCGGGAGTCGGGGCAGGACGGGCAGCGCTGTCACTTACCCGGTCACGCAGCTCGGAATGGCCCAGGTACAAAGCCCTTCCGGAAGGGGACTACATGGCCGCCCTCAGTTTTCCAAGTTTAACCCAAAGCCTTCCCGCCGCGTCTCTGTTGCAAAGCTCTCCCTGACTCCCACTCGCTGCCAGCCATGGTCCTAGGACATCCCATAATGCCGTGCCCCCACGCAGACACGCTGCCTGCTGACTCGGCTACTCAGACAGAACGCGTGTGGGCACAGCATCAAGGCCTCTGGGCTGGCTGAGGCGCTCACCCCCCACGCCCCCCAGCCCTGCAGCCACCCTGGTCCACGTGGCGGCCCCTCACCACCCAGCCTCTGCCCGCGCTGCCCCAATAATCACCGTGCCACTGATGTGCTCAGACCGCACAGAAAGGTCTCACTCTTAGGAGTGAACAAACACTTGTCAAAGTGGCGCACACATTATCACAGCGATGTTGAGGTTAGAACAATTACAGCCATTCCACATGGAGAAAAGTACACTAAGAGATTATGCGTCACGGCTAGTAACTGGCAGAGTGGGACTCCGACCCAGAGCTATGGTTCCAAAGCCCGGCTCCTGACAACAGTGCTGGGAGCCTCCCACTGGACGCTCTAGAAATGGTTAGTGGCTGCATCCCACAGGAGAACTGTCCCCATCAGTGTGTCTTCTTCAAGTTTCTCCGTCAGCCTCCCAGGGCCAGGGCCCTCAGCTGTGTGCTGCCCGACCATCCCTGCACAAGAAGGGCGGCCGTCCCGGGGACCCTGAACCTTCTCATCACTCCGGCTCCTTCACGACCCCAGATGCCCTCATCACCACCACCATTCTTCGGTTCCCCATACGTCCCTCGCGCATCGGGGGCCTAGAACTGTACCCAGCCCCCGCAGGCTGAGATCTCTGAGGACCCCTCAGAGCCCAGGGTGCCCATGCTGCGAGGAGCAGAGACACCCAGAGCCGCATGGAAACCCTTATTTCTCGCTCTTCAAAGAGGGCCAAACCCGTACATCTAAAAAGCTCTGTTTGCCATTTCTGTCCCAGCAAACATGCTTGCTTCCTCCTTTCAAAGGGTGTCTGAGCCTGGGGATTAGGCCTAATGCTGCTGGAATCCCAGGGGAGGCAGTGCTCAGCAATCAGGGCCCACTGAGGCCTGCCAGCACTTTCAAAGGGAACACGACAGGCTTTCATCTCCCTCCTCGGGGGTGCTGGGGCTGGGGCTGTGAGGGAGGCCTCCCTTCCTCTTCCAGACCTCTCGCCCCAGGGCAGGAGAGCTCCTGGCTACAGGAATTGGGGAAATGGAGCCAAGGGCCCCCAAACCTGGGAAGTGATCCAATCCCCAGATCTCATCTCTGATTGGATCCCAGACTTGGGGTAGGGGGTGAGGCAGGGGCACAGAGCCTGGACAGTTTCCTCCCCAAGGTCACTGAGTTATAGGGGCCTAGGCAAACTTCCAAAGAACCTGAGAGGTCCCGTTCCAACTTTCTTCCTTTTGGAGTGAAAGCTAGATCCCTTACCCCAGGGGAGACCCCTTCCTTCTTAAGGGAAACACTCTCCAGACCACTAATACCCCAGAGACACAGCTTCAGCCCTGGCTCTGCCGCTGTTTGGCCAGGTGGCCTTGGGACCTGCTCTCCTTGCCCCCCACCCCCCCTCCCCGCCCCATGTGCACTGAGAGAGGTGGGTCAGCAGAGTCCCCCCCACCATCCAAGGCTGGGACACTGGGTCTCTGGAGAGACGAGATCATTGGCGCTGACTCCAGTGTCCCTACAGCAGCTGAGCTGTCACTCTCCCATGCGTCTTCTGAGCTGGCTCGGATGACCCCTCTGCCAGGAAGCCTTCCTTCCCAAACTAACAGGAAGAGGAGAAGTCCCCAGCCCCTGTCTAATAAAGAGCTTGCCAAAGCACCTAGCTTTCTCCCTGACTGCCATCTCCTAACACCTGATCTCACCCACTGCTTTATGGCTCATTCACTTGGCTTGGGCTCTGTCTTGGGGCTTCAACCCCTGAGAGCAGACATGAGCTCTGTAAATCTACACAGTGCGGCCCGCACGAGTTGAGAGGCCAGAGGGAAGAAGAGAAGCCCCGTGCACGGGAAAAAAACGGAGCTGCTGAACCTCCAGGAGGGATGACCTAGGAACACCTAAGTTGGGGGCACCACACAGAATCATGAGGTGAGGGGATGGGGAGCCAGGCCAAGTGCCAAGACTAAGGGGCAGTGCGTGCTATGGGTGCTGAGCGGGTGAGCAGACCCCACTCACAGCTGCCCCAAGGTGTTCCCCTAACCACCCTCCAGGTACTGGGGAGCTGCACTCTGTGCAGAGATGGCTGTACCTCAGGTCAGGGCATCAGAGACTGACCACCTTTTATTTCCTTCTAGAACGTCGGGGTAGCAGGTGAGGGGTGTCATCCCTCCCACTGCTCTTTCCCAGGGCAGGAGATCTTCCCTAGAGTGTGTAGCATGGGCTTGCCAGCTTCAGCTTCAGAGCTGCCTAAGGCACCCCACTGCCCCCGCAGGCCCCCAGGGTACGTGGCCAGATAGCACTTCCTCGTAGGGCAATCCTCCTCATTCGGCCAAAATCTGCACCCAGGGAATATACGCCCTTGGATCTGGGATCTGCTCTCAGGAACTCGTTGGCCACATCTAACCCCCCTCTCCCCTTAAAGCCCCCCCACACAAAGAGAGGCCGCTCTGATTTATGCCTCCGAGTGGGTAGCACCCCGGGTCTCCTGGGGGAGAGGGGCCTGGGCCTAGACCCAGAGATGGCAAGCTGCCCTCCCCTCTGGCACCACATCCAGGGCGGCAGGAGACACAAGGCCATGCCCAAGAGCCATGCATTCCAGAGAAATCGCAGGACGGGCTGTGTAATCACGGGGCTGCATCTCTCAATTACTCCCCCAGCCAGGACTGCAATTACCACATTACCCCTAATCACCAAGTGTTTATTAGCGATGCCCCTCCCCATCAGAGCTGCTATTACTGTACATTAATAACCAGGTAGGCACGCAAGGTTTCCTCTTGAACACAGACCACCCAACTGCCAGGGCCGCCACCTCCCAGGCCCCAGCTCCAAGGGGCGAGGCTCATCCTCTCTGCTCCCCCTTTGGCCAAACTCATGTCAGTGGGAGACTGGGGGCAGACTGGGATCGGTGCAGCCACATACCCAGGAGAAGCAAGAGGGCCCGTGGGATGGCCAGGCCTCCCTCTTTCCCCGGCCTCATCCCTGTGCTTGTGCTGGCCCAGACCCACGACGCCCCATGGCTGCACACGGCGATCTGAGCCCTGGACCCTCTTGGCGGGGGGGGGGGGGGCGGGGGGGGCTCGCCCTTTCCCATCTCCAACCCGGTGCTTGACATGTTCTAAATTGTGACAGCTTGGGTGCCTGGGTGGCTCAGTTGGTTAAGCGACTGCCTTCGGCTCAGGTCATGATCCTGGAGTCCCGGGATCGAGTCCCGCATTGGGCTCCCTGCTCGGCAGGGAGTCTGCTTCTCCCTCTGATGCTCCTCCCTCTCATGCTCTCTGTATCTCATTCTCTCTGTCTCAAATAAATAAATAAAATCTTAAAAAATAAAAATAAAAAAAAAAATAAATTGTGACAGCTTGGTGGCAGTTTAGCCAATGCCTAGTGATTTCCAGTGACCCCAAACACACTCACTTACGAGGGAGCCCACCCAACTCATTATCAACTGTGTCATCTGCAAGAAGACTTCTTAGATCATGTTAAATCTCCCTCTCCTAACTCCCAACTATGGGTCCTTGTACCCCTGGCTTTACCGGGGGTGAGACTAAGCTCTCTCCCACCAACACTGGAAGGCTGCTATCATGTATCTCCTTGAGTCTGGTTTGGTTTTTTTTTTCAAGCTCAACACCTCCCAGTTTCTTCAACTTATTCTCCCAGGACATGGCTGAGATGCTTCACCCTACAAGCCCCTTTGTATGTGTGCTCGTTCCCGCACTCCATCCCTCAGTCTGGAGATATGCAGCATCTTCCAGCCGCAGGGAGCACTAAGGTCCGAGCTGACAGACTGGTCTGTGCTTTCCACAACTGCCCAGAGCCCACCCCTCAGGGCAGCGTGGCGGCAAGGCCTGCCCTGCCTTCGCATACCACTGCTCTGAGGCTGCCCTGGCGGCTGTGTGGTCCCACAGAGGGCGAGCTCCGGGCACAAGGATGAGGAGCCTCCCTGGGAGAGCATGCTGGCTCACGGCACCCCAGCTGGGCCAGCCGCACACGCGCACCGCCTCTCGCTCCCACCAAGAGCTTCTCACTGCAGCCCACCTCTCTCCCACCCAGGGCTTCCTCTGCAGGGCGCCCGTAACCCCTCAGCATGGGGACAGATGGAGGAGGGTGACAGTGGCTGCTAGCCATGCCAGGCCTGGCCTGAGCCCCGCCAACCCTGACCTGAGGGGTTCGCGGGCTGCCTGGGGTCAGTGGTTCCCTTCGTTATCTAATGGCATTGAAACTCCTTAGCCTGACATTTGAGGCCAGTGATAATCTGGTCTAAACTTACTGGCCAGTTCTATTTGCCACAATTCCTACATGCCTACCTTATCCTCGAAATGCTCCAAATTCCTCAAGCACCTCAGCACCACTATCTACCTTACTACTCATTGGCCCTTAAAATCCTACTTTTCCCTTAAGGGGCCCAGGTTGCGCTTTGCGTCGAGCAGGCACTTGGCAGATGTCTACAGAATCACTAAAGAATAAACGTGCTATCTCCAAGTCTACCACCCACTTGACACCTGCCCAGTGTCTGAGCAACCAAGATATGACGTGTGTCTACATGTGACTGGCCCTGGTTGGTCCATTTCCCCTCAGCCCGGAAAGGCAGGACTACGCAACATATGCCCCCGCCCCCACCACCCCGACTCATGCATCCAGGCTGATGCCAGGCATCAGGAACACTGCAGGGCCACCTCCTGCTTCATGTGTTAGTGCAACGGGCGGTTCCCTGCCAAGGAAAACTCTGGAGTCTGGGTGACGTGTAGGACACTGAACAGGAGAAGAGCAAATTGGAGCATGGGGGGTGAGGGACATGGAGCCCCACCTAGGCCTCCGCGATGCTATTCTGGTTCTGCCCTGGGGACTCACAGGCTCGGAGCCCAGGGCCCTGGCACCCAAAACCCCAGTTACCTCATTCTCCTCCTCATTGTGCAGATGTTCGGTGTACGCATCCGGCTTTCGAATGAGAGGGTCCACCAGCATCAGGAAGGCCATGTAGAGCAAGAGGGCCCCCACCACTGACAGGTAGATGACAATGATGACCTGAGGGAGAGAGCCAGCCGGCCCTGTGAACCAACACTCTGGTCCAGGACAGCCATGCGCGTGCGGCGGCGACAGGGGCTGCCTCGAGCGCCACACTGGGGAAGGGCCCAGAGGCTGTGGGCTTGCAGGCAAAGACAGAAGGGACAGGGGGCCCTATTCCACATATTTGCCAGCTCTGCCCTAAACTGAGGGGATCCCACAAGAATAGCGGACATAAAAACAACAGATTATGAAGGAAAGCACCTGGATCCTGACACCCCAAGATGCTCCCAGGGGTGCGGAGTGCGGAAGCGGGGCCTACCTGGCTCTCCCCAAGAAAGGATGAAAAGCAACGGGACACAAAGTAAGAGCAGGGAAGAACCGGCTGGTGGAGAGGCCTGAGGCTGAGCCCCAGGGCACGAGGGCTCCCTCCCCACTGCCAAGTGCGGGCAGACAGGTGGGAAGGTCCAGTCCCAAGAGGGCACGCCAACGGACGGAGGGAGACACGCTGGCAAGAAGGTGTGCCCTGGAGGCCACATCTCCCCCTCCCGTCAGTCACCCTGCAAGGAGGTGACAGCCAGTGACAGAATGACAAATCTCTTCCGTACACGGAGAGGCTCACAAGCTGCAGTAACTTCCGTTTTACAGAAAAGACAGATTCAGTGAGGCTAACTCAGTGCCTCCCAGTGTGGTGCTCTGGACTCTCCACGCCCCCCAGTAGCCACGGCGGCGTCACTAATACACCTCTGTTACCGGGACCACAGAAGCACCTTCACTGGTGTCCAAATGCCTGCTGGGCAGCCAGCACTCACCTGACTGAGAACCATGAACCAAGGTCCCAAGGTTAGCAAATGGTAGAGGTTTTTAACCTGAACACAGATTTACTGACTCCGGCTCACATGCTTTTTCTACTTCCACAACGCCTGGCCATCACTGGCTTCTGATCCCAGCCTTGGCCCCAAATGGACTGTGATGAGTGATAAAAGAGAGAAACCTTGGGACGTTCAGGTCAAAGTCCAGCTCAGTCAAAGGTCAAGTTCAACTGGACCAACTTCCTCCCTGACTGGGGCACCAGTGTTCACGCCTCTTTAAACAGGGCCAATGGTCAGACCTCTTGCCTGTACCCCGGGAAGGGCAAGGGGAATGGAGATTGAGTCTCTAGTCGGCTGACACTGGGGGGTGGGGGGATCCTCCTAGGGAGGAGGACTGGAGGGAAACTTGAGGGATTAGGAAGTGTGTCTGATGAGCGCCCCGTGTCGGGAAGTCCCTTTCTGCCAAATAGGGAGAGGCGACACCTGGCTCAGCACTGGGTCTCAGCCATCTGGTCCCCAAGGGGTGGGGGCCCTGAAGCATGTTCAGAGCAGGAGAAAGACGCTCCAGGAGGGGCTGGCTCAGGCGGGAGGATAAAAGGAGTTGAGTCTGCACAGCCTGATGGGGCGAGGACTGAGAGGTGGCGGACAGACAGCTGCTTCCCATCAGAAAGGTGAGAACACGGGAGGACAGCAGGACTGGGAAGGAGCTGCCAGCTCCCTGGTCTGGGCAAGACAGCAGGGAACATCACCTCCCTTCCTGAGCCTCAGGAGAAACGGGATGGACTAGACAGTGCCGTTAAACTCCTCAATTCCTTTCTCGATGCTATTTCTAGACTCTCCAGGGGACCAGCAGAAGTAAGCTGAAAATCTGGCCAGGAAGAGCTTAAGTCAGAAATCGGGACGCAGGGCCTGGCTCAGGAGTCAGAATCCGGACTAGGAGACCCCGGGGGAGGCTCCGGGTAGATGAGCCTCTGCTAGCGTGAGCCGTGGTCCTATGGAGCCCGCCTAGTGGCAGAGGAAAGGCCAAGGCCCCTGCCTTCACTTGCTACGGTGGTGGCCATGTCTCCTGCTTCTCTCCCGAACTCACCCAACAGTCTTTGAGAACGAGGTTCGGGGCCAAAGCCCCTCCTGCCCAGGGGCCACCACGCCCCAGACACCCAGTCCTGATGCACAGCTCTCAGGGGGCCTTTCAGGAGTCTGAGGCCACTCTGGAAGCTCAGTCCGACTGGGTGCTCTGGGAGGGCGGCCTTACTGTCCTATTAGCAGCACCCTGCATGTTACCTAGCACATAAAAGGCACCTGAAAGAGGCTTACTGAGCGAATGGAAGAAAGAAGAAGGGGGAAATCGGAAAGAACAGGAGGAAAAAAGTGACATGAAGCACCTCGCCCAGGTTCCCTGCCCCCCACGTAAGGGGAGCCACTGGACAGATGTCAGAAGACAGAGCTGGCTCCAAGAAGGTGTGGGGAGCAGGCCCCTGTGTCTGTGACCAGGCCAGCCCAGGAGCCAGTCCCACAGCCACTTGGAATGTTCCAGAATACAGCAAGAGATCACGGGTGCCGGGCAGCCAGGGAGCAGGGTGGGCCCGAGCCCCGAGCCCCAGGCTACCTTGATGGTGGTGGTGCTGCGCTCCTCGTACTTGCACTCACACAGCAGGCAGTAGGCCTCCACGTCGTGGCCGGGTACCGGCATGGGCTCCACCACGTGCAGGCAGTTGCTGGAAAGAGACAGACGGGGCGGTGGGAGCAGGGCCCCTGGCAGCGGGCAGCCCGGGAGGGGGGGCGGGGCAGGGGAGAAGGGGCTCCCAGGGAGTGGGGAGAACAGCCTTCCCACCCACCAGCACCTGTCCCCGGCCCGCCCGAACCAGCTCCCTAAGGTGCACCTTTGATGCTGGCACCAAAAATGCCAACATTTCCCAAACTGCTGCCCTCAGCTGCCTTCTTACCTCATGCCGTGCACCCCTCCCCGCCACCCCGACTCCCATGGGCTCGTTCAGTCCAGAGATCTCCAAGTCAGAGCTGGGGAGGCCCGGACTGGAGTCTTAGACGAGAATCCCTAGTCAGGACCGCCCCCCGGCACCCTTCCGTCCAGCTGCCCGCTAGTCACCACAGGAGCGGCCACAGGGACGCTCCACGGCCACCCTCCCGTGTCCCCCTGCCCCAGCTCCCTGGGCTGTGTCCCCAACGGCACAGAGCACCCCTACCGTCCACTCTGCTGACCAGGTCCAAACCTGGCAATCACCTTTGACACCACCTCTTCCTCTCACCTATGAATCCATCAAATGCCAGTGACGTTTACCTCCTTAAAAACTTCTAAGACCCACCTTCTCTACTGGCTCCCGCTGCCCTGTCTCAGCTCAAGGTCTCATTGCTGTGTCCTCGGACCAGTGGCCCAGGCTCCCCATTGCCCTCGCGCCTCTCATCTAGCCCTGTGCCTCTACTACCTTCTCCACCCAGGAGCTCAGTGGTGTTAGCAAAACGAAACTCCTGTCACATCACCTACCCCCGCTGAAAGCCTAAAGCTGGTCAAGGCCTCCCACAGGGCCTCTAGGGTGAGGCCAAATGAGCTGCTCCCCCTGGGGCACCCACGGCTCCACCTCACTCCAGGCTGCCTCCCTGTCCAGTCCCATCCCCTGCCACGCCTCACCCCACTCCCCATCCTCCAGCTCTGCTGATCTTCTAGACTCTTCTCTGAATGAGCCGTGCTCCCCTCCTTGACACATCTCCTGCCTTCTGCCAGGAATACATGGTTTTGCCACCTCCCCTTCCCACGCGTGGAATCCTACACATCCTTCAAGATCTGACATCTCCCCACGGCAGCCAGCTAATCCTACACATCCTTCAAGATCCAGCCCAAAGATCTGACATCTTCCCACGGCAGCCAGCTCCCCACACTCATCTCTATCACAGCACTGACCACACTGTGCTGCATTCCCACTTTTACTTGTACGGTCTCCCCCTGGGGACGCTAAGTTCGTCAAGGACAGAGGCCATCTCCAGCTTCCCAGCACCCAGTGCAGGGCTGGCAGTGCAGGGCTCGGGGAACAAGCTCAGGGAACAAGCTGCTGCCAAATGAGTCCCGTTCTAATGGCGCGCCCGCTTAGCCCGCCTTTACCTAACAGTGCTCTCGACCCAGGAGAGCTAAAGATCACAGGCCCCACATTTAAAAAGACGGAAGTGAGCTCTGGAAGGCAAAGTGGCATCGCCACCACAATGAGGTCAGGACCCAAATCCCGATCCTCGGCTCGTCTTTCCATGTGACACTCTGTCTCAGTGGGGCCCGTGCCTGTGCTCAGCTCTTTACTTGGGCCTCTTGATCGGGCTCAGCCTTCTTCAGATCAGGTTTCTACAGGTACAGTTCACACATAAGCAAGTGCCCTCGAGAATGCACCTTGATCATTACCACTGGGGAAAGTCAACCACTCTCGGAGGTTCGCAGAGGTAAACCAGGCATCCCACTGCAACGGACGGCCAGGTCTGGGGCCCTGGGCCTATGTCCTCCTCTCTGGGATACAGGAGTTGTACCACTTGACAGACCTGACAGGAATCCTGCAAGAGCCAATGGGGAGAACTTGGAGACAGTTCCATTAAGGGTAGTAGGTGGAAACTGAGGCTGGGCAGGATTCTAGCACCCAGTGACAACACGGGCGACACCCCGGTAGCGGTGGGCGTGGGGGCTAGACCTGCGGTCAGCAGGTCAAATGTACAGCAGGGTGACTACAGTTAACAACACCGTATTATAGGTCTTCCAGGTCTCTGAAAAAACAAGCCTGTTCTGAGCTATCCCAGGGTCCTTCTAGACTCAGGCTGGGCTTCTTTCTGGCTGAGGCATCAAACACGTGTGATATGAAGATCAGGTGTGGAAATAAATATGAGATGTCCTCTAAAAGCCTCTGTTCCCCTTAAAAATCCAGGATGTAGCCTACGTGATTTTCCCTAAACCCCGATGATTCCAGTTTCACCTCTGGGTAACAACTTCAACACATCACTCCTTGCTGCGTGAGTGGGTCTTCTACGTAACTAACTACACCATTACCAGACCCCGCACGCTGCCACCTCTGGGAGGAGCCGATGGACAAGGTCAGGTTCATGCACAATACTGGTCATCACTGCTGGGACCGTCTCTTCTCCAGAAGTCCCTACAAGCCTTCTGAGGACCAGATGCCTCCCTTTCTGAGCCACACGGGGTGCCAGTTTGGAAGGCCACGCCAATGCTACAGTGCGATGTGCGCACTCCCCGCCAAGGGCAAGCAAGGTGGGGGGGCAGGGGCAGCGGGAGGAGCGAACCCAGGTTCTCCAAACTGGAATCCTGTTACGGGAATAGGCTGTAAAGGGGTTAGGGGAACAGTAAATGGAAGTTGTAATCTTTCTGTTGTCTCTGGCCTCTTGAGAGTCGGTAAAACCCTAAACATGATCTTGCTCTCTAAGGATTTCATTTACCTTCCTGGGGATCGGTGGTATCAAAAGACTCCAAGGACTGGTGAGAGGACATTAAGGGACAGGTTGACGGAGAAAGATAAGCTGGGTTTAATTCTCTGCTCCGCCACGTATTCTGTGATTGTAGTAATTTATTTATCCCCTCTGGGTCCCCGTTTCCTCAATTATAAATGGAGGCTGAACTCATCCGTGTCTTTCAGGCTTTGTTCTCTTAGGTACCCCAGGAACTACTGGGCAAGGAGGTGGTGGAGGGAGGGGCTGAGAGACGGGTCCCTCTCAGCACCAGGTCTGATTTTGTTTCACATGTTGTGTTTCCAACACAGATTCCGTCTCTAGAAAGGTTTAATTTCTAGAAGTCGGAAAGACACTGAACTAACCTACTTGGTTCCTTCCCACCCTCGGACTGCCTCTGCAACGTATCTCCTCGGCAGACCCACCAACAGAGCATCATTGTTAGGGTTTCTGCCCTCCGACAGGCGTGTGGTTATGAACTCCCACCACTAGATGGCAGAACACCAGCGGCGCAGGAACATAAATGCGGTGACCTGTGAGGCCCGCAGCTGAGACAGTTCTGGCTTTGCTCTGCACAACAAAGGGTGCAAGTATTCCCCCAGCCGTGGACCCAGGGGACAGCAGAGCAGCGACAGTGGCAGAGACCTGAAGATGTAACTGGTCTCCTCTGACCCTTGCCAGAGGGCTGGAAGACCACAGGTCAAGCCCCCCCCCCAGTCCCCACCCCCACCGGGGGGTTGCCAATGTTGTCGCTGGGTCCTAGAATCCTGCCCAGCCTCAGTTTCCACCTACTACCCTTAATGGAACTGTCTCCAAGTTCTCAACTTAATTTTGTTCATTGGGTAATCCCCTAATTCTGACTTCTAAGGAGAAGAAAATAAACTACAGCCTGAGCAGGACTCCTTTCTCTGCGGGCATCCAAGCTTGGGTTTGCAGGCCATCTTATCACCCCAGGCCAGAGACAGGGCTACTAAAATCTGCTGTTGCCTGTGGGACGTAGCCTTACTATCTGCTGTGGGGCTCAGTCTATCAATTTATTTACTGATGTTATCTGAGCTATAACCGCAAGATACAGGGAGGTCACAGGGGCTCCTCCCAGGACTTCACGTCTTAGGGCTTTGTGAATCCATCAGGACAGGCGAAACCAGAGGGAAACATTCTGCTGTGTTGTGTGAACCAGAGGAGCTCGTTTTCTGGGGCTGTGCTCTAAGTCATTCCATGAGTACCTATGTGGCCTCTAACAAGGCATGATAATATATATTAATATTAGCTAACATTTATACAGCACTTACTACATGCCAGGCATTGTCCTAAGGGCTCTGACATGGGCATGTACAAGCACGCACACACGCACACACACACACACACATTCAATATTCAATATACTGCCATCCATCTTACAGATGAGGAAACGGAAGTACTCTGGACATGAAGTCACTCGTCACATAATGAACAAGGGGCCAACCTGGATTTGAAGCCAGGCAGGCCAGATCCCGAGTCCGCACATCTAGCGAGCCTGCCTCTCGGAAAATCACTCAGACTATCTCAGAACTGGAGAAGTTCCAAATTCCCAAAGGCTGCTCGTAATCACCTAAGGAACTTTAAGAGAACGTTACTCCTGCCCCCCCTGCTCCCCGATATTTCCTGAATCCGAATCATAGGGGGAGGAGATCGAATGTACAGGAGGGAGACTACAGTTAACAACACCGTATTATATGCTTGAAAGTTGTAAAGAGAGTAGATCTGAAATGTTCTACACACACACACAAACGGTAATTATGTGAGGTGACGGAGGTATTCATTAACCTTATTGTGGTAACATTTCACAATATGTATGTGCATCGAACCATCAGGTTGTACACCTTAAACTTACACAAAGTGCTATGTCTAAAGGACCTCAATAAAGCTGGGAAGAAAGAAAACAACAAAACCCCAAATCTTAGGGATAGGTGGTGCTGGGAATCTGTATTTTCTCAAAGCCCACCTGATGATACTAACCTACAACCAAGGAGGGGCCCTGACCTGGACACCCCCTCCTTGTGATGCGAATCCCTTCCACAGTGCCCTTAGCAAAGAATCACCCCATCTGTGCTCAGATCCCTCCAAGGAGCGGGCTTCCCAGCTCTTAAAATAGCCTGGATTAAAAATGCTTCCTTCGCTCACACTTATAGTTTCCCTGAAGTCACCCTTAAAGCTGTTTCTACTGACTCCAATTCTACACCAAAAAACCACATTGAACATAACTGATACCACTCCCATGTGCCCCACCTCCCAAAGCATGCCTGCCCTGCTCTTGGTCTTTGTCAGCCACCAGATGTTCCCAAGCCCTCTCCTCGTCGAGCCTCCCTTCTAGGAAGCCACTCCTTCTAGGATATGGTGTTGAAACTTCCCTTCACCAAGCTGGTCTCCTTTCTCTGAATGAATCTGTGCTTCTTTTTCTCCTTTTTAAAGGGAAGCATCCAGAAATGAATTCAGGACTCCAGGAGTATAAGTGAAATTTCCTCTTTGGGTTTTAGTCTCTGCAATTATAAAAAGGGAACACTACCTATCCCATCTACCTTACAAGGCGTTAATGAGACTGGTACAGAATAACACACGTAACAGAGCTTTGCAAAAGTACACAAAAGGTCCCATCGTATGTGGGCATACTATCTACCTCGCCCAATCTCTCTACTACCATTTTGCATTACTGATAAACACCCAAATCAAAGCAAAATATCAAAATCCACTTCTCTGACCAGAAACCCCTCAGCTAGAATTCAAGACACCTGGGTCCTGTTCCCAACTGGCTGTGTGACCATGGACAAAACAGTCCTTTGTAGGCTCTAGTGGGAAAGCAGGAGCAAGCTCATCCTCCAGGGATCTAAGAACCCCAGTAAACACTTGTACTTTCAACTAGTTGTAGCAGCCACGAGCCAGGCTGTACAGCGCCTTACCAGTCCTTCTGTGACACATTCTGGTTGTAAATGTGCCCACTGATGTTTCTATATGGTGGACAGATGCATTTGCAACGAATATCTTCAGAGCTCTGGAAGAGAAAGTACATGGTAGGCAGGTAGGCAGGGCCCCTGGCTTTAGGTTCTAGCAAGACTTGTTCATATATGAATGCTCTTGACCTTGCCCATCCCCAAGTTCAGTAAGGAATGACTTCTGCAAAAAGGATGCTAATATCACAGGATTCTCAAGACAGAAACTGTCCAGGTGGCAAACGAGACTCACAGAAAACTGCCTAGGGCTGCCATTCCCCAGAAGGATGCCTGGGGGCTGCCATTCCCCAGAAGGTGGCAAGCAAAGTGACAGCCCTCTACTTTGGGCCCCACACTTGCTGTGTGCACCTCTGCCCAGCAACCTTGATGGTGAGCCCCTTCCCGCCCCCAACCCAACTCCAACTTCCTAGGTTAGGAATGGGGGAAGGTAAAGGGCAAGGGTACACAAAAAGTGGATCATTTCCATGGGAATACCCAAGCAATCCCGTAGAAAGTTCCTCCTCCGTGAAATGAGTAAGAAACAAAACCACAAATAATTTTCATTCCAATCAGGAATTCCCCAGAGGGGCTGGAACCAAACCCTCAGACTCAATCTCACTTAAAGTCTTGATGACCTTCAGAATTTTAAATTCCACAGAGCTACCCAAGCAAGCCCAGTTCTGGGTCATTTACCCCTAAAGAACGGAAATTTCTCAGGAGTCCCAGCGCTTAGGTTGGTCACCCTCCGTGTAACAGAAACTTCCAGCTGTGCAAGACTTCACACTTAAGGAGCATTTCCACAAACTATATTACTTGATTCTCCTTAAGTAGAGTAGTAGACATTATAAGCACCCCGATTTTACCCAGGAGCAAAGGAAGGTATGGGGAACTTGGATAACTCCTCCAAACACAAACTCCCCCGCTGGAATCTCACCTAGGTTTCCACTCGGATCCGGAACGTGTGCTCTGTGCTCCACCCCTCTCCCTTCACTCCACCCTTACGGAGGAGGCCTGCAGTCTGGCGCCCGCGAGAACACTCCCCAAAACTACGGTCCATTGATGAGTGAGGGGCAGGGCTGGAGCAGCAGCTACCTCGGGCGGGGGGGGGGGGGGGTAGCCCTGTCCGCAGGCAGGGTGGTCGCGCACGAGGTGCTGCTGGATCACCTCCCTCACCTTGTTGGCTTGAGCTGGGGGCAACAGCAAGCACCCGACCACGGCCACCAAACATAGGAGCTTCATGCTGATCGGGCTTGGGAGGCCAGCCAGACCGGACACCTGCATAAGAGATAGAAGTAGGGAAGGGGAAGGGGGCCACACCATACCCCGCACTCTCGGCCCTTCAGCCCTCCCGCCAGGACGTAGGAATGGGGTTAGGAGCTGGGTTCAGCATTCCAGGGCCTCCTAAAACCCTGTGGCCAAATACGGCCTTCCGTCTCCAAGTCTCCGGCTCTCCATCGCCCACCTGGAGCGCCCGGGAAGAGGGGGCCTCCCGGGGACTCCGCGGCCGGGGACCTCGAGTTCCTAGGACCAGGCCCCGCTCTGACCCTCGCGGCGCGTTCCACCGCCCTCCGCCATCTCCGCCTCCGCCCGCCCGCCCGGCAGCTTCTCCCCACTCAAGGCCAGATGAAAACTTTCGGTGTACAGGCTGGGAGCCCTAATCCGACCGCCAAGGCCAGTACCCACCTAATCAGGGGTCTCGGGCCGGCCTGGGACCCCCGGGTGCCCCAAAGACCCCCGCACCCCTCCCCCAACGCCCGGTCCGCTAACCTGCGAGCCCCGCCACCGTCGCAGAAGACCCAGCTGGTCCCGCCCCCTCCCGGCCTCTATTGGCTGCTGGAGCAGCCTCTCAGCCCAACCTCGCTATCGCCAAGGTAACAAGGCCCACCTTCGCCTGGGCTAGGAGGCTCCCGCGCAAGGGAGAGGAAAGCATTTCTCAGACTCGACCAAACAAGAAAAGGGAGCGTCAACTTTCCAGACAGAAACGGGGAAGGGTCTTGCCTTTGTGTGGCCTGTAAAACTCCCACAGCAGTGCTTTGCCCCTCCTCGTATTACACAACTCGGGGGTCCGGAGAGGGGCTAAGTTTGTTTCATCTTGTAGTTTTATAAAGAGAAAGCACTTTATACACAACAAGCTAGTAACAACAACAATAGCCTTAAAAACCCAGTAAGGGCCTTTGAGCTCACTCCCAGTCTGAATGTTAGTTAGGGATGCACATCTTGGCTGCACAGGACTTTACCAGGCCCCACCTCTGCTCTCCCCCGACCCAGCACCCTGAGAAGGAAACCGGCGGGGGCAATGAGGTGGTGGGCTGGGCCTGGGAGGAGAGTGCACAGCCACTCACCCTGTCTCCCTGCCCCCAGCCCTGTCTGGACCTGGCAGACTGGGGCAAGGTGTGCAAGGCCAGCGTGGGGAGTGGGAAGCTGGTGGGGAGGGAGGGAAGTCTGAGGTGCTGAGGGGCAGATGTGAACGTCTTGCAGCTGTGAAGGAAAGAGGAGCCTTTTGAGTCCAGGGTACCAGACGCAGAGTGAGGACACCTAGGCTTTGGCCCTGGCTTTGACACTAAGCAGTTATGTTACCCTGGAAAAGCCACCTCCCCTTTCTGGGCCTCAGTTTCCTTATCTGTAAAATTGGTTGGTTGGATACTAAGGTCCCTTTCAGCTTTGAAATTTTGGGATTCCTGGGAGTGGCCCACACTTGCTGTTGGTGGCTGGAACCAGCATATGGGCTGGGTGCAGGCAGAATTAAACCCCTCTCGGGCACTGTGGACTGCGTCAGGTTCCTTTTGTGGAGGTAGTGGGGTTTATATTTGTTTCTCCTACACATGTCTTATGCCTCTTTAATTCCTCACCACCTGGGAGACCACCCTACCCTTGGTGGGTGCTCAGGAAACATGTACTAAATGGAACTGGGTAGAATTAAATTAAACCTCATTGGACAGCAGGCAGGAGGCACAATGGTGTGACAAAGTCATAGCTCAGTGAGCTCAATGACTAGGGCACAAATCCTGGTCCCCCCCCCCCCACCTTCCTAGTTGTGAGGATGTGGGTTGTTGGCTACTCCTCTAGGGGAGCTTCAGTTTCCACATCCATAAAATGGGGCTAATATCACCTACCTTTCAGGGTTGTTATGAGGGTATAATGACTTGGAACAGTGGCTAGTACAAGGTGGGGGAGGGATCTATAAATGGAAATGTTAGCTCATTCTGGGGGACAGAATGTCTGCTTTGGTGAATACGCTGGGGCAGAGACAAGATGCCTGCCACATGGGAGCAGAAGGGACAGTTCAGGCCCTGGAAAAATACCCTCCTTCTCCCAATTCATCTGCTGTATGGAGATGAGGATCTTCACAGGGACAAAAGCAATGGGGCTGAGTCTCAGTCACCTCCAAGGCATGCCCTTCTGATACCCAACACGAAAGTTGCCCAGTGCTGAGTTCACCGTCTTGCTCATCTAATGGAAGCCAGGCCTCCATCATCCTGCTTTTCTCAGGCCCCAGATTGTGGTGTCAAATTATCTTTGACTCCCCACTACCTCCTGTCTCCACATCTAGTCTGTCTAGGTGTCCCTGTGGGACAGCTATCATCCCCCTGCCTATATCCTGCTGCACTTTGCTCCCTGAAATATACTCCCTGTCCTGTTTCCATCCCGTCTTCCTCCAACCCTGTTTTCAGCATAACGCTCATTGCTCAGTAATCCCCAACAGCACCCTGTCGCATCAAATCCAGACCGCTCCACCTGGCATCCAAGCCCTGGTCGCCATTTCTGCCCTCCCCCACTCCATCTCATCTCTGGTTACTGCCCCCCAGCTGTCCTTCCCATATTTGACTTGGCTCACACCTCACACCTTCCAACCGCTGCCCCAAGGGCTTCTCTTCCAGAAACTTTTCCTAGGGAGTTCGAGTTGACCCAGGGCGCCTCATCCCCACACATTCCTCCCTGTGCCCTTTGTTTAAGAACCAGACCACTGAGATGAGTCTGAACCTATTTATTCAATTCAATTCCACAAACATGCCCTGAGCACTGTCCAGATGCTCCAGGGGATACAACAGACAAGCCACATGTGAACCCTGCCTTCAAGAAGTGTGTAGTCTCACAGAGGAGAAATCATATGGCCAGGATGTAACTTAAAATAGAAAGTGAGCTGTCATAGAAGTTTTCCCCCTCAAAATATTGTTGAGCGCTGTGTGCCAGGCAGTGTGCTAGTTGCCAGGGATATGTCAGTAAACAAGACCAACCCTGTCCCTGCTCTCATGGACCTTGAAGCTTATTGCAGGAAAATGACCAATCGACATGTAATTACAATTCCAGGTGGTAAGAGCTATGGTAGGGAAGATCTTCAGAAGCTGGTGGGAAACCTAGACCAAGGGCCAGAGGAGCCCAGAATGGTAGAGAGGAGTCTTTGAAGGTAGTGGGGGCTACTTGAGCTGGGCCAGAGTGGAAGGCAGAAGAGTGGCCTTGCCCAAAATGTCCACATCTGAATCCCTAGAACCCATGACTAGGTTGCTTCCCATGGCAAGAGGGATTTTGCAGATGTAGTTAAATGAAGGTCGTTGGGCTGGGGAGAGTAGCCTGGATTATCCAGACGAGCCATATCTGGTCAGATGAGTCCTTAAAAGAGGGAAACCTTTTCTGGTTGTGGTCAGAGAAAGAGATGAGACAGTAGAAGCAGAGTTGGAGAAATCGAAGATGGAAGGGGCCGTGAGCCAAGGAATGAGGGCGACATTTAAAAGCTGGTAAGGGGGCGCCTGGGTGGCTCAGTTGGTTAAGCTACTGCCTTTGGCTCAGGTCATGATCCTGGAGTCCCTGGATCGAGTCCCTCATCGGGCTCCCTGCTCGGCAGGGAGTCTGCTTCTCCCTCTGAGCCTTCCCCCTCTCATGTGCTCTCTCTCATTCTCTCTCTCTCAAATAAATAAATAAAATCTTTAAAAAAATAAAAAAATAATAATAATAAAAAAAAGCTGGTAAGGGCAAGGATCAGATTCCCACCCCCCTCGAGCCTCCAGAAGGAACTTCATTTTAATTCAGGGATATCTGTGTGGACTTCTGACCTACAGAACTGTAAGATAATAAATTTGTGTTGTTTGAATCCACTAAATTCATGGTAATTCCTTACAGCAGCAAGAGAAAACTAATACGGCCAGGAGGATGGGCAAGATTTGGAACAGAATTCAAGAGCATGGTGATGGTGGGAAAGGACATTCTGAGTAGAGGGGGTGTAGGAAGAGCAAAGAGATGGCACTGGGAACACACAGGAGGGGAAGAGCAAATGGCTGTTTGGCTCAAACTCAGGGCAAATGAATGGGAAGGGAGGGCAGAAAGATAAACCAGGACCAGAACCTCATGACAGCAGAGGGTTGATGTGAGCCAGGGAATGAGCCCAGGCCCCTGGCTCAGGGGTCTCAGACAGGGCTAGGACCAGGCAACCTCAGGAATGTGCTCCCTCCAGCAGAATGAAGCTGAATGAAGCTCCGAGATTCCTGCTGCTTCCTCCTGGGTCTATTGGTCTCCATTCTGCACCTGGCTCCCTACTCCCAGATTTGGAGCTCTGGGACTTAGACCACAGCCCAGACCCTTGGTTTCCCTCTCTCGTACCTGCCTTTACCCCAACAACCCTAATATCAGTTGGCCTGAAAAGGCCAGGTCTTGGCATCTGTGCCAGAGCTGAAGTTCTGGGGTCCTCTTCACTCCCTATCCCCACTCTTGGTTCTCCTGGGGAGGGACTGGACTGCTGTCATCAACCCCAAACTGTGCCTACTCTCCCTGGCATCAGCTATATGGCCCCGCTCTTCCTCTACTCCCCAGCAAAGCTTATCTATCCAGTGCCTTACAGCCTCCAGCTCCTGTAAGCGGATTAACTTCCCAATTGGTGTACCGGCACCCATGTTTAGTCCCCCCAGGGAATAGCTACACTAAAGCGTCATCCAACCTAAGCAGAGAATAAAGCTCAAAGGCTAGAATTCAGACACGTGTAACAGGCTCCAAGGGGTGGTGATTGGTGATTTGGAGTACAGAGAAGCCCTACCTAGATCCACCTCTAATGGGAAGTCATCACTCCGCCCCTAGATGGCAGGTCAGGGGCCCAGGGATATCCTTGAGATGGGGTGGGCACCATCCTCAGATACCCTGAGTAGGTCCGCTCTCTGACCACGCAGGATTTCTCAGGCATCAGAGAGCACAGAGCTGAGGGCAGAGGGTGCCCTGCTGCGTAACACACTCTCCCAGCTCGGCATCGGCCTGAACATGTGTTCTCTCTTTGTCTGGGCCCCCAGAGTTGCCTTTTCACAGACAAGCTGCTCTCCCAAAACCAACCGACTAAGACGACACCAGTCAAAGAAGAATTATATTTAATTGAATAAAACTCTGAATGAAAGCATTATTCTATCTAAAGTGTAACACATGACATTAACTTTGCCCAGATATACACACACACACACACACACGCATATGTATGTAGTACACACACATTAAATTCTGGACCCACTTTATTTTATTTTATTTATTTATTTATTTGACAGAGAGATACATAGCGAGAGGGGAACACAAGCAGGGGGAGTGGGAGAGGGAGAAGCAGACTCCCCGTTGAGCAGGGAGCCCGATGTGGGGCTCCATCCCAGGACCCTGGGATCATGACCTGAGCCGAAGGCAGACGCTTAACGACTGAGCCACCCAGGCGCCCCTGGACCCACTTTATGGCAGGCATTCTCCCAGCAGTTATTAATAAGGCACCATTCTGTGTGGGATCTTGCACTAAGTGGTCCCTCTCCCTCTGTCGTATCTTTCTGGGCTCAGCTTCTGCCACCATATGTCCTCTTCTGGATTCAGGCTTGACAGCACCGCAGAAGTATAGAACAATAGTTCACTTTGGGTTT